GACATCCACATTTCCCACATCTTGAATCTAATCAGCTTGCCTGATGGGCTCCTAGTCTCAATTCTGGAATCCACATGGCTGATCTAAACACTTTCCCCATGTCCCCAAGCCCCAGTTTATTACGTAAACTTACTGTTTTATTGCTTGTGCAGAGTCTGTGTATCACACAGTTCACTGTCTTCCTCCATTTAGACTCTTAAAAAGCTTGGAATCATTTCCCCTCTTTGCATATTTGATTTAAGTTCTTTACTCCATTTATGTATTATTTTGCTTCAGCAAGGCCGTTCTTAATATTGGGTAGAGTTTTAAAACCCCTAGACTCAGATTCAAGATTTGCTCCTTTGTCCTTCCTCCACTCCTGAAAAAAGTGCACATACCCACAGACACACAACATTCTGTATACAATTTTGAGCCTTTCTTCAGCCCCTGAAGTTTATCCATTGGCCAATTAATAATTCCCTTGATTAGGAATCTATAATTTGTAGGCACTTTTGTGGCACTCAGTCTCCTCCAGGATTCTTCTTCCTCAACAATTGTGAGGGAGGAGGAGGGGAAGGAAAGGAAAGTGGAGAAAGAAGAGTGGAGGAGAAGCAGGGATGGAGTGAGGAAGGGGGAAATTCCATCCACTCTTCTTGGCCTCTGTTTTCTTTTTTCTTTTTTTTTGTTTGTTTGTTTGTTTGTTTGAGACGGAGTTTTGCTCTTGTCGCCCAGGCTGGAGTGCAATGGCACAATCTCTGCTCACTGCAACCTCCACCTCCCAGGTTGAAGCAATTCTCTTGCCTCAGCCTCCCGAGTAGGTGGGACTACAGGCACACACCACCACGCCCAGCTAATTTTTGTATTTTTTTAGTACAGATGGTGTTTCACCATGTTGGCCGGATAGTCTTGATCTCTTGACTTCGTGACCTGCCCGCCTTGGCCCCCTAAAGTGCTCTCCTCGTATGTTCTTATTTCTTTTTGCCTAATTACCCTGGCTAGAATTTTCAGTACACTGTTAGGTAGAAGTAGCAAGTTCAGACATCCTTGTCTTGTTTCTGATCTAAGGGGAAAAAAAATTCAGCTTCAACATTAAGTATGATGTTAGCAGTGGATTTTTTGTAGATGTCCTTTATTGGATTGAGAAAGTTGCCTTTTATTCCTAGTTTGTTGAGTCCTGCTTTGTTGTGAAAAGTTGTTGGGTTTTGTCAAATGCTTTTTCTGCATATATTATAGTAATAAGATAGTTTTTTCTTTATTCTATTAATATTAAATATATTATGTTACTGATTTTTAGAAGTTAAACCAACCTTGCATTCCTAGGATCTCAATCAGTACTAGTGTATAATTCTTTTTATGTGTTACTGGAGTCAATTTGCTAACATTTTTTTGAGAATATTTACATGTATATTCACAAGGTATATTAACCTGTTGTTTTCTTTCTTTGCAATGTCCTTGTCTATTTTTGGTATCAGAATAATGCTAATAATCTATACATCAGAATTAGTTGGGAAGTATTCCCTGTGCTTTTATTTTTTGAAAGATTTTGTAGGCTGGGTACAGTGGTTCACACCTGTAATCCTGGCATTTTGGGAGGCCGAGGCGGGCAGATCACCTGAGGTCAGGAGTTCAAGACCAGCCTGGTCAACATGGTGAAACCCTGTTTCTACTAAAAACACAAAAAT